TACAATGTATATGATGTACAATCACCAAGTATTGATGGTAGGTACATTATTGGAATGGAACATGATTATAGAGGTACATGATAATGCTGGTACACCTATACAATGTATATGATGTGCAATCACCAAGTGTTGATGGTAGGTACATTATTGAAATGGAACATGATTATAGAGTTACATGATAATGCTGGTACACCTATACAATGTACATGTGCAATCACCAAGTATTGATGGTAGGTACATTATTGGAATGGAACATGATTATAGAGGTACATGATAATGCTGGTACACCTATAGATTTTGATGTGCAATCAGCAGGTACATTACTGAAATGGAACATGATCATAGAGGTACATGATAATGCTGGTACATCTGTATGGGATGCAATGGCTAAATATCAATGTTAGAGACATTATTGGATCAGGCTTGTCTTCGATGGTATTTCTTCTTGTGAATCAATCAATGATTTTTCAATCTGATTTAATCAATTTTATATCAACAAGGACTTTTATTATTTTTTTTCAGAGTCTGAAGCTAGCAAGCCCACCAAGCCACAAAGGCTWATCTACTGTATAGTRGAACCCAACGTAGCACGAGGCTATATTAAAGAACCATGYTTYAGCAATGATGGCCGTGTGATTGGATCTCCTTTTGGTAACACATCCCGTCTCCTCACATTCAGCAAAAGCTGTGATGAGTTGTGTAAGTGTGTTAGGAGTAGACCATGTCAATTGACTGACTTTAAAACATTAGTAGGACACAAACAGCCTGTTTTGACGTGTCGTTTCTCACCTACCCACCCTATACTGTCCAGCGGTTGTCGTGGTGGTAAAGTGGCCTTCTTTTACCCCCAACTATAGTCATTTATGTAGATACGATACAAAAAAATAATCTACAATACGGTGGAAACTCGTTATTCCGAACATTTGAGATACATCGAAAATTGCCCGTATTTTAAACGGGTTGGCCGTATTAACCGGGCTGAAAAGGTATGACAGTGTAGGGATCTAAAATTCTGGTCGTTATAGTGGAGTGGTCGTTTCAAGAGCTAACGAGGTTCAACTATATCAATTGTCATTACCAAGTGTAAGGCTTGTCTCAGGCTGGCGATGTGACTGACACTGATATCTTGCTTACCGTGTAACTTTATTTCGGTATGCAATAAAACAAAGTGTACTAAATAAAACACTAGAACTATAGTGTACACTGACTCAATTTTTGTACGCTTTTTTACAAGTATTTCACGCGTTTATGAAAGCCAATTTAGAGTGAGGTCATTAAACCCGTGAAATAACAATTGACAATTAAAATCGTCCAATGTACCAAAAGGGAGCAATATTATACATGCTACATATTTAT